GTAGGGAAAAATACATGCTAAATGCATTTATATGTCAAAGAGGCAATTAGAGCAAATATTTCTTCCATTTCCAAAGTTACCTTTGGGTTTTGTACTTAAACATCATGAAGGTAATCTTAAGTAGACCTCATTGAAAACAATTTTTGCTGTATTGTGATTTAGCTGTTAAACATATTACTGGGATTTAGCTTGAAATACTACTTAAAAGAATTGGGGAGAATGAAAAATGTATGTATTGCTTCATATATGAGTTCACGCCTTGTTTGCTCGATTCTGCTGGAAGCGATAGATATTGTGCTTTCTTATGTAGGCTGCTTTGGAAAAATTTAAGGCATGTGAAAGAGACCTTTTTGCAAGATGTACTTAGTATCTTGCTGGACGTTGGTTCTTGTGGGAAAAGCAAATGCTTCTTGTGGATGAAGAGAGGGTAGGATGAGATGCCTTTAGATTTTTTTAAATTGTGGTAGGGATAAAAAAAGGAATAACTTTCAAAACTCTTTGGTGTATTAGAGGTATTTGCAATTTTATGGTCAATTTATAAAACATTTTCTTCCCTCTCCCTGCATCCTCCTTCTTGCCAGTGGCTGCTGGGTTTCCATCTGGACAAACTCCTCTAGAAACCAAACTGGCCGAAATAAAGCTAGCTGTGGAATATGGTGCCAGAGAGATTGACATTGTCATTAGCAGGAGTCTGGTGCTGACTGGCCAGTGGGAAGGTAAGTACCCACCCTTTGGCAAGGAACCTAAGCCTGTGTATATGCACAACCTGTGTATAGTGCAAACTCTGTCTGTCTTTCTCCAGTCTCCACATCAGTCCTTGGAGAATTTGGTCCTTTCCCTAAGAGTGACAGATAATCTGGGGCACGGAACTATTTAACTAATTTCTGACTAGTGATCGGATTTTTTTTTAAAAGAATGCTGTTACAAGTTCTGTCAGGTTGGGTATTCATAATGACTTTGTGTTTTGAAAATTCAGGTCTATTCCTTCTGTGCCTTTAGAGGATTTTGTGTACAGGATTAAAAAAAAAATAGCAAGTGGAATGGAAGTGAATGCCTATAGTCCAATTATTTGAACAGTTTTGTTAAAAACCCCAAGGGGCTGCTAATGTAGATGATACCTTGTTAAATATACATGTTTCAATTCTTGACAAAAATACGTATTTTAGTTGTTTTCTTTTCCCTGAAAGTTGAGGGTACAAATTGACCGTTCATATTATTATTGATGTTCTTGTGCCTGTAGTCTACTACTAATTAGTAAGAACAATAATACTGAAGATGGTTTTTGCTCTAATTGCTTTCTTAATGTACTGTGAATGGTTTGCCTTAAGTGCTGACAATGCTCCTATAACTAATCTCCATGTGAACGTAAACACATCATTGTCTTGGAATGAATTTTCCATTTAGTTGTATAATGCATTGCTGTAATAGCCTGTTTGCTTGGAAGACTTTATAAGGGACCCCTGGTACCTGAGTTTGGTTAAGGAAATACAGTCATCATGGTAACAGATCATGTTTTCTCATTTTGATCTTCCTTCAATTAGCAGTTAGAATTAAACCAAAAATGAAGTTTATGCATCTGTGTCTTCATGACTGAGATCCTGGTTTCCACTTGCTCTAACATCTTGTCCTCTTTTGTAGTATTTACCATCTCCTTTCTTTTGCTCTTAAATATATGCAGCTTTACAAATGTTTGACTTCTTGAGGATGGGCATTGTTGCAGACATTTGTTTCTTTCAGAGTGGCTATTTTAAGTTTAGGTATGTCCCCAGAAATTGCTACAATATGGAGACCGGGTGATTGAGCCGTTTCAACTAAGACAGAATGATGGTCAAATCCTTTACCAGCTGGCAGCAAGACTACATGCACACCTTCCTGTGCTGTATCTTTCTTAGGGTCTACACTATGGTCTACAAAGCAGGTACTCCCTCCAGGAGCTGCGCTCCACTGGGAGCACGTAAAGGTCTTGGATACAAAACGAGCTGAGTCAGTGATCTGCCACCAAGACTAAAAAAGACCACTAAACTGGACTTGAGCAGCAACTTGCAACTGTGTCTGGAAAAGTCTGTCTTGTAGCAAATAATTGTGTTTACCACGCTTCAGACTTCATGGTACAAACCGCTGTCAAGTGCAAGTTGTGTAGAGCAGAGATCAGAAAGTTAGTGCATGCAGGCCATTGCAAATGCAGGCTTGAAGTTACATTGCCCAGGATTACGCAAAGGAGAACTCGGAGGAGAAATACAGGGTTAGATTCAGAGAGAAAGTTTGTATCGGTGATTGAAATGAACCAGAAATATATTGCTAGGTTTTTCTATATGGGAAACAAATTGTTTTCTGTGGTCATAAATTACAGGGGAGGAGTACACAGACATAGCAATGATGGATGTAGTATAAAGCTGTCAGTTTACTAAATAAATAAATTAAGGATGACTTTTGATTTGGTGTGCATATTCTTTTATCCACAGTGAAGTTGTGACAAGGTTTAAAGCCATCCTTTTTTTGGCAATGGTTAGTTTACATTTCTTTTACTGAGGGCAGAATTGAAATTATTTCCAAATGTTTTCTGAAAGTTTGTTTACGAACGTGAACCTGTGTATGGCACATATTTACATGGTCTTGAAAAAAGCTACCTCAGGAACAGAATTTACTTACCATCCAGATGATGATGCTACAGGGTGAAAAATTTTAATATTTAACTTGCCCGTCCAAAAAAATTACTTCAGTAGGTCATCTGAATATTTTGGTGAAAATCTAGTGTTCTGACTTCATGTTTAGCTTTCAATAGATGTACGTTTCTTATGTGAACATGCAGCTTTCCAGCCCTATCTAACGATTAGATATGATACACCACAATGTATAAAGTACATTTAAGGAAGCTAGAAGGGATGAAGAAGTCTTTCTTGGGCTGGATTCCTACATAAAATTGAAAAAGTCTAGTGCCTGTGTTCAAGGTACTTCATCAACTAGAGCTGCCTTGCAGTTATGACAGAACCTCTGCTTATGCTTATAACACTAGTATATTTTTATCGGTTTTTTCTCATGCTGCCTGTCTTCACAACTTCAGGAGTTATTGACAAAAATACATATATGGTAGAATGCTTTATCTTACCGTTCATATATTTTTAGCTTTTCCTCTAGCCTGTGCAATAATTGGGGTCACCATGATAGAACAGTGTTGCTTTCTGATTTGTTTCAAAGGCTTGTTTGGTTATTAAATATTTCAGTGTATGTCCACTTACGTCAAGTTATTTTAAAGCAGTTCTTAAATATTGTTGGAACTCTTTATGACGTTCAGAATATATTTTCTAGATCTTTACAAAGTAATTGTTAAGAGCTTTTTGATAGTGCTGAACATGAAAGCAACTTTATTGGACAGTTAATTTAGCTTGGAAAATAACATTGAATGAGATTTAAGTTTATGAACTTGTATACCTTTTACAACCTATTAGCTTTTAAAGCAGTATTATTTTACAATAGTTTACTCAACCATTGTCTTGTATCACTTGACAAAGTGTATATTAAGCTTAAAAATCACAATTTAATGTCTTTAAGACCAGAATGTGGAGCCTGTTTGTAAAAAGTGATGAAGTTGACCAACAAAGTGTTGAAAGGAACTGGACTTTTAAATCTTTTTTTTCCCTGTTATCAATGAATATGTTGGACTTGCTGTACCTTCTGAAGCTGCCTGGGATACCGTAATGTTACTTCTAGTTCCACAGCTTTTAGCAAGCACCTACCACAGTGTCAGTGGCTTTGGAGGTCTTGATAACCTATCCTTTGCTCTATGTCAGCTGAAGTTTCCTACAAGAAAAAGAGAAGAAAAGAAGTATGCTCTAAGAAGTTTTAACACAGCTGCATCCATGAAATACATTAGGTATAACCTCGTTATGAAAGCTGCCTTTCAATTCTTCTTAATAATTATGCAACTTCGAGTTTAGAGGCTTTGTTCAGGCATTGGGGCCCCCTTTTGTGCTACATACCTTATAAACAGGGCAGGGAAAATACACTCCGCACTCCAAAGACTTGGAAAAGACTCCACATGTTGTTCAGAAATATTATAATTGCATTTACCGTTTTCTAGATGTGCAAGCTGACTTGGGACCTCAAAGTCTAGTTGCACAATTTCTCTCTTATATTGTCAGCAGCAGCTCAGATTCCTGAAGCCAAGCTCTGTTTTCAGTTTCATGTGAATCACTGGAGCCTGGAGTTGCACATATGTGGCTGAGAGCAGAACTGAAAGAGTCGTGTTGTGCTGATAGCCTTATGCTTGTCATTTTGTTAACAAACCTGCCATTAATGTGCAAGACAGAAGGGATTCCAGCTCATTTTCCAGTTTCCCATCGTGATTACCTTGATCTTTTGGTCTAACAGAAATTAAAACATCTTCCCTCCTCGTCTCAGTTTCTACCCTTAACATCAGTCAATGTGACTGACTAGATAAAAACAGCAAATAAGCTGAATTTAAAATAAAGAAAAAGTGGTTTTATCACCGCATTTTTGGAGAAAAGCTGTTTCATAAAAATTTAAGCTGTGTTTTTTCCCCCTTAATATTTTCATTTCCTGTGTAGGAGATATGGATTATCCCCTTTATTATGTGGTTTTTAGAACAAGTGTATTAGACCAAAGCAAAAGGCCATCTAGACAATCTAGGGCAGATTATAGCCAGCAGTAATTGTCAGGGATGTTTGCTTGAGAGATGTGTTAGGGGGAGGCATGTTTTCTGTGGTGCATTTAATAGCTGCAAAAAATCAATGTAATGTTTGTACTGAATAGTTAGACTTTTAGGAAAACTACAAAGAAGCCACCTTCCAACACTTATCTTTTATAACAGTGGAATTAAAACCACAGCTATGAAAGTATTTTTTTTGTTCCTATAAAATCTGAATTTTTTTTACTTTAGATCTGCTTTTATTGGATGCATTTATTAAAGTTCATGAAAGCAGCAAGGTATCTTAAGTAAGTGGGTGCAAAGTAGAAGAGTTCTTATGTCACATCCATTTTAACAGCTAAGTCAGTGGAGCTACTACACACTACATCAGTGAGCATCTGGCTCCAAATACATTCTATATAAGTTGGCTTGCTTTGGATTTTGGTTTCTTTCGTTTGTTTGTTTGCTTGTTTTTCCTGGCTTAAGACTTAGACTTCTTTTAGAATGGATAGTGTTGGTGCTGTGTTCAAGATGCTACACAGTGTTGGCCATTTGCTTTGAGATTGTCTTTTCCCTGTTTTTAGCAGTCAGAAGGAGAATCTCTTGCAAACTCTTCATGGTGGTCTTAGCTCACAGCAGAAAATATGCCTGCGGGGTTTTCTGTGATAGAAGTTTTTCCCAAAAGCTTTCTGCCACTGCTGCTAACCAGAGAAGCTCTAGCTGCTGTGTCAGTTACTAGTGTTCTGCATAGGTTACAGATATTCCCAGAACCACAGTGTCCAGCTCTGTTCCTGCTACTGATCGGCTTGAAGGAACTGAGTAGTTAAATGATTGTCTTTTTGGCAGCACAGGCTGTCCCAGAAGAAGCCCAGGACCCCTTGAAACACTGAGTGCATTTTCAAGTGTCATTAATTCCACCCATACTTTAGTCATTTGCCAGGAAGTTTCAGAATAATCAGGTTACTTGTGTCTTGATTTAAATCTGAGTGAGTATTGGAACCTCTCTTTTATTTTTGAAAGGAGTTTTTGCTCTTGTTCTGTATCAAAGCAGTCCCTGCTTGTACTGGGACTGGGGTGCTCTGGTTAATTTTCTCTGTCCCAGAGGTAGTTGCATTTCTATTTGTGCTTTTACTGTAGGGCTGAGAATGTCCTATGATACCAGCTATTGTTTGCAATAATTGTTCTCTGAATAAAGAGCAGTATTTATTACCTACACACCTGCCCCATTAAAGTATGCACACTTTTCCACCACCTCAGCTAACCTGATAGACACGGATGATTGAAGATCATCAGTTGTTCCTGTCTGTGGGTTGATGCGTGCTGTCAGATAGTGAGACTGTTCAAATGATCTTGGCACTAATTGCATATAAAAGTACCTTCCAACAATAGGGAAGATGCTGTAGCTGCAGTACTAACTCCAGTGAACACAGAATATAATTTCTTTTCATGGAATCCAACCTAAATGTACACTTTGTTGATTTTATTTTGATATTTTTGGCGGTGTATCTTAAAGGTAGAGGAAACTCGAGTCTTTTCTTCTTGTTACAGAAACTAGAAGAACATGAAAGCTACTTTCTCTGGCTTTCCAAAAGCTTCAGGAAAGAGTCACTCCACAAAAAGAGATTGCATTTGGATCTATCATGAGCAGTGTTATCAAATGCACAAGAAAATAGCACAGGTTCTCTGTATTTCCTTTTGAGTCTCGATTTGATGTAGGTTTCTGGAGTATCATCAATTGATCAATAAAACATGTTAGACTGCATGCTAGTACTGATTAATTCACACCTTTGGTACACAGCAAGAAACAAGGTGAAGCCTGGTGTCTATAAAGGGACTTGCTAAGTGCATTAGCCAGTTGTCTACTAATGTGTGTAGTACATCTCAGAGGACCACCCCAGAGACCCCAGCCCCGGCCGCCTGGTGTGCTGATGGCATCAATAGGATGCGGCAGCATCGCGGGCGGAGGGGAGGTCCAGCCGTACGGCAGCTGGCAAACCCTACTGTGTGTTTCCAGGTCTCGCTTGAGGACTGAGGAGAAAAGAAAGCTAGTATGCTGAAAAAAATTTAGTCTCCATAGCCACATCCTGGATTTTTTTAACAAGAAAGAGTTGTTAAAAGCTGTATTTTAGCCTTCCATAAAAAAACTTTTCAATTATGTGTTTGAAGATTGAATACAATTTGTGAAAAGGACTCTCTTGCAAAGGACCCTGTTTGCTTATTTTGTCTTTTTTTTTTTTTTTAAATTTAAATCAAATCCCAGAAATGGTGACTGTACACTGTAAGAACTGCTTGTTTCACCATTAACACTGGATGGCTCTTAATCATCCCCAAGTGGCCAGCTTCTAACAGCTATGTTTTGATAGCTATTTTAATCTCCCTGTGTTTACAATTTTGTGGGAGCACTGCTGAATTTTACCAAAAAAAGGGTGGGAGGGTTTCCTGTGCTCCCTGTGTTGCATTACCTGACCAGGTCTGCAAGTTCTAGCCTTCTTTAAAAAACGCAGTTGGTTGTGTCCAAATTTATTCCGGTCCTTACTGAGTCTGTGAAAATATAAAGCTGTTAGAAAGTTAAGCATGCCTCTGGCGATGACACTTTGTAGATCCAGAAGCAGGAGTTTGCGAGGGGGTGGTCTGCTCTGGACAACGTCCATGAGCAGCCAAATGCCGGCCTGTTCTCCCTGTCCCTGCTTCTCCCTGGCTGCAGTCGGTGGCCGGCTGGTTGAGTGGCAGTTCACTGAGAAGCGGTGAGCAGGTGGGATGTGTGCTGGTTTGTCTCAGGGACACGCTGACTGCTTGGAGATGAAAGCTAAGGAGAGCTGAAGGTCAGAAGACACACTGATAGCAAGAAGCCCTCCAAAGGCAGTGGAGCTCTCTGTGGGGAGGGAGGGCAACTCCAGGGCAGGGTTTGCTTTTTGTTTTCCAAGTGGTGTGAAGATACGGAGATAATGGTCTGCTTTATCTCCAATCTAAAAGGCTTTATAGAAGTCAGTCCTGCTGTCTGCGTCAGTGCCAGTGGCAGTGCTTGTGTGTATAACAGTGGCTCATGACAAACCTCCTTCCTGAGCTCCAGCCGGCTTCCTCAGCGAGCGTGGGCATCAGAAGCGAGGGTCCAGCTCTGCCTGTGGAGCTGTAGCTCCACAGCATGCTAGGCAGATGTTGTCCTGCTGGCCCTCCTGCCGCGGTGCTTCCTTCACCCTTGCCGGGGCCGTCTGAGGTCATGGCACAGGGTGGTCCAAGTCCTCAGTAACCTTATGGGCAACGCGACTACTTGAGGTGGTTTGTAAACACAGATCCATGTGGATTTGCTGGTCCTTGGGGTGTGATCCCAGGCCTCGGTCTCTCCTCACCAGGGACGTTAGCAGACTGCATTGATTTTTTTTCAGGAAATTCTTATTTTCAAAAAGCTTAAAGTGGGATTCAGATGCCTAAAAACAGGCATCTAGCTCCATAATCGGATTTCCCAAGTTGGTCCCATGGTAGGGAGAACGGTAGGAGACCAAAGGGAGATGTGAGGTGTCCAGGAGTGGCAGCTGGAAGCCAAGGGGGATGGCATCTCAGGTGGCACTGATGTTTGTAATTAGACAACTTGGTCATATCTTTGGTGTCTTTTAGGCTGAGCCCTTTGGCAAATGTGGCTGAAGGAGACAGAGAGGGTGGTGATGTCATGTGGACAGGAAAACATAACTGTCCCCAAGTACTGATTCAATGTACTACCATATTTATTGCTGAAAAAGCTGTTGTAAAATCAATCTTGACTAGCATAGCATTTTTTACTCCTGATGTATTTATGAGTGTTTGTCATACTGTGCACATTCTTAGTGTTGAGAGAACCGACATTAATAGCTATTAAGTTAAGTCTGAAACTGTGTGGCATTGTTAATTACCTCCAGTCATGTAATTTATTGAACTTGCAAAACTTAAGTTCTTGAGTGCTATGACTAATTATAAGATTGGAAATTAATCCAGAAGTGGAAATTACAGCCATACTTGAAAATGTCTCTCAGTCAGCTTTGATCATTTTCACATGCTTTTATCCACAGGTCTCTACGAGGAGATCCGTCAGTGCCGAGAGGCCTGTGGAGAAGCTCATATGAAAACAATCTTGGCAACAGGTGAACTGGGGTCCCTTGCTAATGTCTACAAAGCCAGTATGATAGCTATGATGGCAGGTAAATATATGTGTTTTTAAGCTAAGAATGTCTTTGCTATATTATTTATGAAGCTTAAAAAATTCTAGTCATGAAAATTTAGTTTTGCCGATAGTAGGCAAAAACTATTATGCAGCAATTACTGAAGTTGCAGGTGTAGTAATGAAGTGTCACTTGTTTTGTATAACCTACAAAAACTGCACAAATAACTGCATAAATAACACTTAAAACTGCTAAATGGCAAAACTTGTAGGTACAAATATTTGTTGTCAAATGTTTGATCCTTGGTATATTTAATAAGGATACATACATTTGAGGCAGATACGCATATTATCCAGGCAATTGTGGTGAGCTACAGATGTGGTGTAGGTAGGTGGCTCGTAAACTTATTTTAAATGCAGGGGGAACTTTCCTGTGAAGATTCATGCTGACAACTCTCGTTTCTGGTTTGCAATCACTTCTAACCACCTCTATGAGACTGCGATTCGGGAAACCAACTGTACTGGACACGCAGCGAGGGGAAGGATACTACGTGCTCCAGCAGGTGCTGCGATGGGCTCGGTTATAACTGATTTTAACTGGCACACTCAAAAGCAGTAGCACTTGCTACCGGCAATTAATTGTTGCTTCAAAAAGTGTTCAGTCTTCCCTGTCTTTGAAAACTTGATTATGTCTGACCTGATGTTTAGGAGTCTGTCTGTCTTTTATCCTGAACCTTTCAGCTAAGAAACATTCCCATGAGCAGGATAGAGTTTTTAGGGGCTGCGTATAGTTTGTAGGTATTACTTTTTTGGATAGCTATAGCCATTGCAGACTGAATGTAGCGAAGCACCCATTTGAACACAGATTTACAGCAGTATATTCGCTCTGCAACTTTGGCCTGCGCTGGTATAATTTTCCCTAGTTTAACCAGGCTTTTAGGGCTGTGTTTTAATGCCATCTTTAAGATGCAAAACCAGGAATTGGCTGATAAGGCTATGTTCTTTGAACTCTGATCTAGACACCTGCTTTTTTCACCGTGCTTGAAAGAGGGCTCTTCAAGAATATTGATAGAGAGAAGTGTAAAGATATACTAAGAACCACTTCTAAACTTCCCTCATTTTTGTGTTGATTTTTTTTTTCTACTGTAAGCTCTTCAGACCTGGAATTTCTTCTTATTTTAGAGCAAGCAAAAATCATCCAAGTATCTTGTCAGTATTTAAATAAATATTCAACTTGCTGCTGACCTCATTGTCTCCTTACACAACACTATGCTTATCTACTTCAAATGGAATGGGAAGCATTTCAGGCTTTTTACATGCTCAGCTACAATGTCAATTAGTATCATTAGATACAGAGGATCAGTATTATGCCAGTACATATTACTTTTAATTAGAAGAGGTGTAAGAAATACACATTTCCTGTAATTTAAACTGATGTACTAATCATTATGATCACTTTTTGTAACATGGAGTAGTGAAAAATTCAGGTTGTAAAGCATTTTAACGTTTTCAGATTTTTTGCTGGTGTAGTTTTTTTGAAATACAGCAGATGGCTCTATTGTTAATGATTTTCCTTGCATAGTTATTCATTTTACAAGATACTTATCCATCTGAATATGTGCAGTGATTTCCTTATTTCAGTCTCTTGCTTTTTCTTTGTGGGTAGGTATAAAAATAACAATTTATTGGTGCCCTACGTACATGTATTGAGGGCCAGATTTTCAGACTCTAGCTTGTCAGAACTGCTGAGAACCTTGAATTCCAGTTGAATTTTTTTTGATCTGCATATTTGTAGCATTTTGGGGAGAAAGTAATTTGGCACGGTATGTTTAAATTCTAGCTTTAGTATCCATTTATTTTTTCAACTGATGCCATGATTTAAAAGAAAGAAAGAAAAAAAAACAGATGATCTTGTGGATATGGCCCTGGCAACTTTTCTCTAAAGATAAAAAAGCAACACCTCTGAAGATAAAAAAGCAACTCCAGTGATTAGTTTTATATGGGGAAATGAGTTACACAGTGTAGTGTATTCAACTGCAAAACTGGCTTTAGAAGTCTTTGCTGCTGCTGGCCAATTGCTCCTGTCCTTTACACCAAAATTTGCTGCTCCTTCAGCCGTGCTGTTAGAAGTGCTCGTCACACTGCATTGTGAACTGAGCTTTCAAAGTAATACGGTTGAAAATTACTCCAGAAAAGGGGTAACTAGTTTGTTGTGGGGTTTTTTTTTTTGATTGGTTGGCAATGTTTTGGTTTTTTTAAATGGTCACCACCTCAACAATCTGGTTTACAGACTTGCCTTGCATGCAACTGTATCAGTACAACTGAGGACACGACGTGCAGACCTTAAACTCTTTTCACTTCACAGTGCATGATGTAAGCCTATTATGTAGGGAGCACAAAATCCTAGCCTTACAGACGTTTACATTGCATTGCTGAGCACGCACACATTCACCTAGGTTCTGAAGCACCGAGCTACTAGATGTGTTGTAACATATATATAAAATATATGTATTTCCCATGTGTCTCATTTGTGAGACTCAGAAGGGTGAGAGAGTAACACAATGCTGATTTATCATTGCTCTATGGTTAAAAAGCTTGCCTGGGATGTCTGGGACTTGGTCTCTCCGACTGAGGTTCTTCTTCCACAAAAGGGTCAATTTTACAGTGCATTTGCTATTAAGGATCTCAGTCCCTCCCGATAAAGTTGCTCTGCTTTGCACAAAGCAATTAACTGAGCAGGGAATGCAACCCAGATGTCTCTTCTCTCAAAGAACTTTCCGAAATTTCTATACAGTCTTTCTTGTGCTGGCTTGAGGAATTATTGGTGTATGCTGGGAATCACAGCATGTTACATTTAGTCTGATTCAGCTAGCAGGTGGGGGTTCAGCCACTGGACGTGAGGCCAGCTGCACAGACTTGAAAAGGGATGGTAAAAGGTCAAAAAATGGGCACCTCTGCATTGGCTGGGATTTTAAAAGAACGCTAAGAGCCGTGCTCAGGCTGGGGTGGCGTGCCCCACGCACTTTTATATTCAAAGCAGATTGCATAGGCTGCTTCTGTAGGCCAGCATCTGTACTCTGAATCACAGCCCTTGCAGGACTGGGCGAAGCCATTCACTACACACCAGTTAGGGAGGCTGAGGCCAGTGAGACGTGCAGATCCCAGCAGTGCACTAGAGGTGGAGGCCAGTAGTAGAAACGGTGCTTTGTACAACATGCCTGTGTACAAGATGTTAGTGCTTGCACCTGCAAGAACTTGGGAAAAAGTGTTGCTTCACAGTGAGGTGTGATAATAATTTGCCTTTATTTGAAGCAGTGGCTTTTGACTCCTTCTGTGTCTGAAATAATACCTCCAAAGTACAATGACTACTTCTTCCTTCTCTGGCACAGTACCTAAGGAGAACGACATCAGAATGGGAGGAGGCACCCAGTTCTCTTAAATTCTTCTAACCACACCTTTACAGACTTGACTGACACACTAAAAATTCTTCTGGAATATTTAAGAACCTATTTCTGAGTGAAAGAGGCTGACAGCCCTTTAAGGACAGTGACTCACCTGGCAAGAATAATCCTTGCAGTGCTAAGGAGGACAGAATGGCAGGTAGGATTGCACGTCAGTGGCTCTGTATCACTACCGAAGGAGCACATTGTTTTCAGAAAGCTGACCGAGATAACATGTCAGCATTGAATCAGTGAATTTTTAGTTATTGGTTTACAATGTCCACTGCCATTTCTTGAGCTTCTTGAAGTCTTGATGGTGGTTTGAGTACATGAGCTTCTCAAGGAAAACTGACTGCATCTTTGACTATATCAGACAGCTTCCAGACAATGAGTAGAGCAAACTCATTAGTGGTTTTCACTGTCTGGTGCATGCTTGTGTGAGTCATGTCCATTTCTACAGGAGACACTTAAATCTGTGTCTTCATAGCCTCTTGAAATAAGCAGTCCCAAGGAACACAAATGGCAGCCTGACTCCCCCATACCAGTGGGAACTATTCTGTTTTTTCATCATGGTGTCTTTAAAAAAAACAGGTCTTGTACACAGCTCTCTTATGAGAGGTAGGCCATTTTTTAACTTTCGTTTTTTGACACAAACATCAGAAACTGCCAAGAAAGCCAGACAAGGAAGGGAACACTTTAGTAAACGTGTGAATGGCTTAATTGCATATTTCAGTCATACATAAGGTTTTCATTTTGGAAAATCACATTGTAACCATATTACCTAATTACAAAATCTTTATTGTTCTGTGTAACAATTCATATTAATTAAAATATGCAGACTGGGGGAGAGGTGGAGGAAGCGATTAAGTAAATGTACTTCACTTTAAAAGTGAAAACTTCATCTGTGTCATTCTGACTGTGAAAGCTGGTCTTGATAGTACAGCTCCTTTTACATCGCTCTTTGGGAAGCTAAGGGAAACACAGCAGTGACATGTGAAAGATATTTGTTTTCATTACATATATCTAAACAAGTACCTGTGGAAAGATCAGGAAGGAGTGATGTATGTTCTTCTGCAGCTCTACTAAACATATGGGTTTAAAACAATTTTTTCATAGGTCATTAAGCAGTTAGTCAAATAAATTGTAAGTTGAGAAACTGGCTAATGTAAAAATTGAATTTAGAAAGGGAATGAGTTAGTGCTAAAACAAACTAACTTCTGCAGTCTCTAGCACAAAAAACTCTGTGAAAAGTAGCAGAAGATGGATGGGGCAATAAGGTCTCTGATGCCGATAGTCTAGAAGAAGAAAATTAAAACACATTAAATGTGTGAGCAGAAATTTTTTTAGATGCTTTGATACTGTTCATTCCAAAGCGAACAGAAATAATATAGCCAAATGGTGAAGAAAAGATGTGTCTTGCAGTTCTTAGGAGAACCCACTTTCAATCCTTCAAGGCTTCATCCTGCTTTATGGGAGTGGTTCCAGTTAATACACACTTACCATTTTCACAGCAAATCTTACCAAAACTTAAAGGCACAAATAGGCTGGCCTTGTGCTGGATCCAGAGAGAGACTGGCTGAGGGCTGTAGTATCCAGTCTT